TTGAGCCCTATTTATATAATTCTAACCTGATTTTTTCGCAGTCCCTTGTAATGCGCAGCTAGGAGAAGTCCCTATTCCTCCGTCGCGAGAGGGAGGTCTGGGGGCTTGCTGCCGAAGTGCCGCGGCTGCGGGAGGAGGTGGCGAGCCTCCAGACCAAGGAATGGGAAGAACATCAACACACTGACGAGGCCGAGGACAAGCTCAAGGCTGTGGTCGCCAAGGCCGGAGAAGATGCCACGGAGCTTGGACAACTCCTACCGGCCCTCGACCTTGCCCGTCAAGAGAGCACCGACGCTCGGTGCGCGCTCAAAAATGAGCAGAAGTTGAAGGAAGAAGCCGAGGGCCTGGCCGCCGCCTTGGCCGGGGATGTTGGCGTGCTCCAGAGGGGGAAGACGGTCCTCGAGGAGCAAGTGAAAGGTGAGGCTCTGGTTACCTTTTTGCTTGATGTTTGCAGTCGGTTTTCTAACACTCTTTGATGTTTGGCTTGGGCAGTCCTACAGAGGCAACTCTCCGAGGTGCAGGGTCAACTCTAGTCGGAGAACGACGACCATAACACCTTGCGTGCTGCTGTCGGGTTGGTCTTCAATGACCACGGGGTCTCCCCGACCGTGTGCATGAGCTCGCTCGTAGACCAGGTTACCCAGATCCTGGATTGGGCCCGCGTGCTCGCAAGGACGGCCCTGTACACCGGCGTCCATCGCGCGTTCGCCATCGCCCGCTCCCACTACATTAACATCGACCAGTCGGTGATCAGTGATGGCTTCACGCCTGGCTACACTAACGCCGAGCTAGACAAAATTGAGAAGGAAGCGGCTCCCCCGACGTAGGACCTGGCAGAGAAGGTCGGAGATGAAATCCTTCCAAAGGGTGTTTAGTCAGATAGTAGTGTCCGGCGTCGGTCTTTTTGTAAAGACTTTTATTATGGCCGAAAATGTTGTTTGGCCTTTATATATATATATATATATATAGACGTACTGTTCCGTAGCTGGTCGCAGAATAAGTTATTCTGTGGCCACTTTGAGTTACGATAATTACTATACTAATTTATGAGATTATGATAACTTTCTCATAAATGATTTACTATAACATTATGGTAAGTATCATCTTGAATTATAGTAACCCATGTATCGTAAATGTGTATTGTCATTATCGTAAATTGGTACAAATATTATCGTAAATCAAGGTGGCTATAGAATAAGTTATTATGTGGCCAGCTGCAGAATAGCCTTATATATATATATATATATATATATATATATTAGTAGCCAGCTACAAAATAAGTTATTCTGTAGCCACCTCCATTTACGATAATTTTATATACTAATTTATGATAATATTAATACATATTTATGATAGTTGGGTTACTATAACACATGGGGATATTTACCATAATGTTATAGTAAACCACTTAGCAAGAAGTTACTATAATCTCATAAATTAACATAGTAATTATCGTAACTCAAAGTGGCTACAGAATAAGTTATTTTGTAGCCAGCTACAGGGTAGTAGTTATATATATATATAAAGTCTGTTGCGATCTGACCCTTGTTTTATGTTAAGGCATTAGAAACTTAAGTTGCGAGCGACTAAGTAATGATCACGCTGGTGAGCTGTAACACCCCAGGTGTTTGTTACCAGTTGAGCTCAACCATGACATGTTAAGTGGTGATGGCGATGTTAGGTCAAACATATGAAAATGAGCCACCACTTAAACTTGGACCATGCACCATTGCTTATATGTTGCCCTTTCTAAAAAATATGCTTGAGTAATGTTGGATGTACTTATTTCATGTGTCTCACATCAATATCCGTCTATATTGATCCATGGAAAAGTTTCATGAAGTTTGGAATCAAGAAGTCACATGAAATGATAAGTTAAAATCTTTCTTGGATTGCTTTATTAAGTGAATGGAATTATAGGTCATCAACTAAACCTTGCTACCTTTCCCAAATGACTCTAATTGAACTCTACAACAAAAGTCATAAAGGGTTCGTGTTGAGCAGAGATCAAGAAAATGCATCAATCGGTCTAAAACTCAGATTTAAGCTTTACCGCGATGCTACTTTGACCTGTGTTGACCAATCACTTACAGTGCTTGCATGGAGTTGTACCTTAAATAAAAGTTAAAGTTTAAGTGGAGTAGAACAAACTTTGTTTTTGGACTAATAGCTAGATCAGCTTGTGCGCAAGCCAAACCGAGCCCTCAAGTTGGAATCCATGACTGTTTTGGGAGCTCGAAATTTGGCTAAGTCTGGATGACTGAATTCGTGATTTCAGTTTTCATGTACCTCACTTTGGAACCTTGTATCTCTCCAACTAGGCCAAATTAGAATTTGAACATTTAAGAAAAGTTGTAGTACTCATATAGATCTACAGCTTTTGTTACTACATTTTGTGCCAGAACTAAACGGATTTGGAGTTACGAAAGGACAAAAATTGATGTTCAGTCAGCATTTTTTGGGATAGAATTGAGTTTTGAATGCAGGACCGATCGATCTTAACTGAACTCGGTGCGGACCGATCTTAACTGAACTCGGTGTAGTTTCATGTACTTGCCTTTGGAGCATTGTATCTCTTCAACCAGGCCGAACCAACTCAACTTCATATAAGCAATATTGGAGTACTCCCGTAGTTCTATACAACGGTATAATTGATTCAACAAATCGTCGATCGGTTTAGGTGATATGATGGCAGGAAAAATTGAGCTTTAGTTATATGTTTGAGGTGGTATTGGATTTCTTTCCTTCTTGATCTGCAGAAGCAGCAAGGCCGACCGTCACAGACTGCTCACGCCGCGTGGCTCCTCTGTGCTGTGCCCGTTCACCACCTCGCCGTCGCGTGTCACTTGGTGAAGCCAAGCTCGAGCCCTGTTCCCCTGCCTCATCGAGTCCTAGCTCCCTCTCTCACTCTGACTCGCCCTTGCCTCTGCTAACTCGCGCAGAGCGCAGGCAGTCGCCATGCCCACCATTGCTAGCGAGCGGAGCTTCCACGCCGCCCGTTCCTGCTTCTTGATGCGTCCACCTCGCCCGGCCAACCATCTAGCTCCTTCTTTGCTTCGCACGCGTGCTCGTTCGATCCAGCGCTGCCGTCATTGGAGCCATGGCCGCCATGGCCGAGCTCCGAGCTCACCGGTGCCGCGGCCATTTTTCCCCTCTCTCAGCCCCCTCGCTCCTCACGAGCAACGCCATCAGCTTCGCCTCCCTCTCCTGCACGCCGTGCTCGTGCTCGCCGTCTAGAACCGTGCTGGAAGCACCGCAGCCGCCGTCCGCCGTCGCCTCTGACCGCCGGTGCACATGGCCGAGCCACCTCGGGCCGCCTCCCGGCCATCCGAGACCACCAGCGGGTGCGTGCGGGCCCCTGGTCCTTCCCCGCCACTGCATCGCCGCCGGTGACGACCACGGCCGCTGAAGCCGCAAGCCGGCCATCTCCACTGCTGTGAACCGAGAGGAAGGACCTCGCGCTTGAATTCAAGAGAAGAGAAGGGTCGATCTGCAAAGTCCTTGACTCAGAGGAATAGTGTTAGAAAGGACCTATTCGCTGTTGTTTAATTTATGTTTTCTGCAGGACCCCGATGCAAGATTTACATGTCTTTTCTTTTAGTTTTTACAGATTTGAATGATCAACTTTGAAAATTCGTAGTAATTAGTAGAAAAATCGTAAAATAGTAAATGTGGACCTTTTGGAATCCTTGTGAAATTGTATATGCAGTAGATCTATAATATGGCATATTTTAGTTTAAATATTTTACAGTAAAAATAGATTTATGAAGTTAGGTTTTTAATGCTAGTTGTGCTTTGTCTTTTTCATAACTGCAGTTGTTGTGCTCAAATAAATGTTAAATTATTATGGAGTTCTAATAATGTGATGGTTGATGTCTGGTAAAAATTTGAGGATTTTACGCTTGACAGTTTAAGAGTTATAAAAATAACAAATGCCCTGTGTTGCTTTGCTCCTATTCTGAATAGGCCTGCACGTTTGAATTAATTGGCTTAGTTAAGTTATGAATCATGACTTGATGTCAATACATGAGTTTTATTACTTTTCTTAATATTTTCAAAAAACTAAATATTATGATTTTTGGTTAAGTGGATCTTGAGTTATAGTTGCTTAAATCTCTATAGCGGTTTCAGCCCAAATCCAGACTGGGTTGCCTTATTGGTACTGTGGGGCCTTTTTAATTATAGAATTAGCTTTAGGTGTTTATAACAAAGTTGTTTATAATTTGCTAGTATTTCTAAAAAGTACATAACCATATTTATTGGACATGTAGAACTCCATTTATAGTTGTTTAAAATGGTATGTCAGTTTGTGTCCATGTTTTAGACAGAGATGCATTCATTGGATTAATTGACCTTGTTATCTATAGAATAATCTTAAGATGATAATAAGAAAGTTGTAGATAACTCACTTAACTAGCTTTTGTTAAATTTTCATGATATTTGGCTTAATATTTTGTGAGTTAGGACTGTTCTAAATTGGTCTTCAGAAATTGTAATTCCCTGGAATTTCTGGACCAGATTTGATAAATGTGACTGTTTGACCCCTTTAACTTGGGAATCATGCTGCGATGATTAAATATGAATTGTAGAAAATTTCATAATATTTCCATATTGTCTTGTTGCATGTATTTTGGATTAGTACAACTCTAGTTATAAGCTTATGAAGTTGTATGGTTGAATCTGTCCAAGTCTGGACAGATGTGCTCAATTGTGCTTGGTTGATCTTATTAATAGTGGAATCACCTTGCGATGTTAATAAATATGTTTTAGATAATTTAATAAGCTTTCTATAAAGTTAAGGTTCATGCTTGTTTGATGTCTGTAACTCCAGTTATGCCATTTTAAAACTACTACTACTTTTTTGTCCTAGTTCTGCGTAGGTCTAAAACATTGGCATGTTTGACCGGGTTAGCTTTGGAATGACTTTTTGGTGTTAATAACAATGTTGTAGGCAATTTCATTAGCTTTCCATAAAGTCTAGGATCAACCAAGTTCCAAACTTAATTGTTTCCCATGGAATCTATCTCGGATCTCATGGCACTTTGCCATTTCTCAAAATATGGGTCCATCATTGCTTCCACATAAGTTGCAGGTTCGTCATCGTCTAACAATAACAAATCCCCACGCAACTCACGGATTCTTGCAGACCTTCGTGGTTGTGGCGGTGTTTCTATTGCCACGGGTATCTCAACTTGTTCTGCTACATTAGCATCACTCGTAGAGTCCTTCCCAACTGGCTTATCTTGAACTTCTTCAAGATACACCTTCTGTCCACTTTTCTCTCTTTTGAGAAACTCTTTCTCTAAGAAAACACCATTCCAAGCAACAAACACTTTGCCCTCTGATTGGTTATAGAAGTAATACCCTAAAGTTTCCTTCGGATATCCCACGAAAAAGCATTTGTCTGACTTGGGTGTTAGTTTATCTGTCATAAGTCGTTTCACATAAACTTCGCAACCCCAAATTTTCAGAAAAGACAAACTAGGACTTTTACCAGTCCACATCTCATGTGGTGTCTTAGCTACGGACTTAGACGATACCCTATTCAATGTGAAAGCGGCTGTTTCTAGAGCGTATCCCCAAAATGATAACGGTAGGTCTGACTGGCTCATCATAGACCGAACCATGTCCAACAAAGTCCGATTACATCGCTCAGACACGCCATTTCTCTGAGGCGTTCCAGGTGGCGTAAGCTGTGGAACAATTCTGCAACTCTTTAGATGATTGCTAAACTCGTGGCTCAAATATTTGGCTCCACGATCAGATCGCAAAGCCTTAATTTTCTTGCCACGTTGATTCTCTACTTCACTCTGAAACTCCTTGAACTTTTCAAATGTCTTAGACTTATGTCTCATTAAGTAGACAGAGCCATATCTACTAAAGTCAGCAGTGAAGGTTATGAAGTATTGGAATCCACCTCTTGCTGTCATACTCATTGGTCCGCACACATTAGTATGTATGAGTTCCAACAAGTCTGCCGCCCTCTCAGGAAAACCTGTGAAAGGCATCTTGGTCATCTTGCCCAGCAGGCAAGCCTCACATGTCTCATATGATTCAAAATCAAACGAAGTTAAAAGCCCATCAGAATGGAGTCTCTTCATGCGATTCTCACTTATATGACCTAAACGACAATGCCACATATAGGTAGGACTGAACTCATTAAGCCGAGGCTTTTTAGCACTTATATTATAGACAGGAGCATCTTCGAGATTTAAAATAAATAACCCATTCACAATGGATGCAGAAGCCACAAACATGCCATTTTTAGAGATCACACAACCATTCTCTTTACTCGCAAATGAATAACCATCCTTCATCAAACATGAAGGTGACACAATGTTTCGACTTAAACTAGTAACAAAATAACAATTATTCAACTCCATAATAAATCTTGACGGGAGGTGGAGTTGCATCATCGCGACGTTCAACGCAGCAACTCTTGCATTATTGCCCACGCGGAAATCAACTTCTCCCTTTTCCACGCTTCTACTTCTTATCATTCCCAGCATCATATTGCAAATATGAGCAACCGATCGGGTATCAAATACCCAAGAATTAATATAAGAATTAGCAAGGAAAATGTCCGTAACATAAACAACAATTGTACAAGCTGCGGGGGTACCTTTACTGCCGCGATCCTTTATGGATTCCAGGTACAGCTTGCAGTTCCTCTTCTAGTGACCTTTTCCATGACAATGAAAGCACTCAGCATCAGTAGGTGGTCCAGCAATGGGCGCAGGTGGGTTTGGCTTAGAGATCTCATCTTTAGCCTTGCCCTTTTTCTTCTTCCAAGAATTGCCCTTCTTCTTAAACTTAGGCTTGTTTTGGACCGCCATCACATGGCTACTGCCAGCACCTTTCTTGATATCAGCCTCTGCTGTTTTAAGCATGCCACATAATTCATTCAAGCCCTTTTCCACCCCATGCATATGGTAGTTCACGACGAAATTTCCATAGCTCGGCGGAGGAGACGCGAGAATAAAATAAGTAGCTAATTCAGGGCCAATTGGGAAGCCCAGCTTCTCCAACCTCTGAGTGTAACCAACCATTTTGATCACATGTGGCCCAACTGCTGCGCCCTCTGCTAGCTTGGTTTCAGCAAAAGCCTTTGAAACATTGAACCTTTCAGTTCAGTCCTAGCTTGAGTCTGGAACATATCATTGAGCGCCACGATCATATCATGCACTGCATGGTTATTGTCAAACTGCAACTACAGATCTGGTTCCATACAAGCAAGCATAAGGCAACTCACTTCAAGATCAGCATCACATGCTCTCTTGTAAGCGTTTTTCTCTGCAGCAGGTGCATTATCAGTAGGCTCTTCTGGTAATGGGGTGTCTAGAATTTCTTCCTTTTTCTCAGCCCTGAGAACAATTCTCAGGTTGCGGATCCAATCTGCATAGTTTGTTCCATTCAACTTGAAACTAGTGAGCTTTAGCATCACCGCTAGAAGACATGGTAGATTGGTAAGCAACTCTTTGCTAATCATATCACATATGACTCTTGTTGTTGGGTAGCATCTCTATGCTTTGGTGCCCAACTACTCATGCTCCAAGGTCCCTAACCGTTAGGATGACCTTGTCCAAGTAACCAACCCTTCTGCTGTAAGTATCCGATACGAACCTGTCTAGTCAAGGAAAACCAGTGGCACCCTAATTTCATAGACCCACCACCGATTGTACAAGACACATGACAGTGCAAGGTTTGGGGAAGCATTTTAACTTAAACATTGCCGAAGGATCGTTCTACTTCACCATCGCATGTAGACAAAAACATTATCGCATGTGAAAGTAGAACATAGTAAGAACGGCATTAACACAGATATGACATGGTATAGCCCATTGTTCCTTTGGGGATCTCCATCTCCCTTGAACTGTTCCTCATGATGATCTCCATCTCCATGATCCATGTATGCCATCCTTCAGCGATGAGTCCACCAAGACTAGCTATCACTAATGCAAGGCAGTGAAGAAAATTACATAGTCGCGGATAGGATCATCACAGTTTGGCACGCAGGCCAATACATCAAATTGACAATATCTTTGTGGCTCTAGCCATATTGTCGTGCTCACGACATGCAAGCCATAAATTAATCACATACATGCATCACATACACATAAGGGCTATACCAGTCAGAAATTCCTGCAAAACAGAGTTAATTGATTCCGACGTCTAATCTTAAAACACCAAAAACACCATCTTCCCGGCCAGTTTTTCGCAAATTTAATTTCAGCAAAACCACCAAAGGGGGTGAGAATCGGATGTAAAATTTTTTCTCTACAATTTTTGTCTAGAGTTCGTCTCAATCCAAGGTTGTATGCAAAAGTTATGGCTGTTTTACCGAACATCACTTTTTCTTGCACCCCGACGCCCGGTAGTAGATCCAATCTATCACCGCTACGCATCACATGCGCTCGGCACTTGACCTAGGTTCGATTCGATCAATCTGATTGATCTCCATCTTGCCATGACTGGATTTACATGTATCACTTAACTCGGATGGCGGAATTCCGACCGGTACGAGTAGATCATTACAAGACCAACACGGTAAAATCATGAACCATGATCAGAGACTCATCTACAACCACGCATATCTCCATATGCACTCATCCGAACCTATAACAACGCAATAACCTAGCTCTGATACCACGGTAGGGTTATGAGGATGCTACGCTAGCCGAAAAACAAAAAAAATCGACCTCATAAACCAGGATCTACTGCTAGTTATAGATCACGGGATTACCACTAGACGCATAGGTGCAGCGGAAGCGACTCGATGTAGTCATACGCGTCGTAGTAGTGTCGTGCAGTTGCAAGGTCATCCGTACGTCCGTCCCCTTCGTGCGGTTCGTCCTTGTGCTCCAGATGCAGCACCTCCGAGGTATCCACACGTACAGGGAGGAAGCGTCGCACCTTCGGACTACTAGGTCCACGAGGAGTAGCAGGCGTGGGCGTAGCATGGGCGGCGGCGGTTGCCAAAATGGCATGCCCTCCTTAGCCCCGTTGCCCACCCCACTTATTTATAGGCGTCCCTAATGAGCTCCCGAGTTGGAGGCCCATTAGTAACCCTAAGCCTTGTCTAACTCGGATCCAATCCGAATTAGGCTTCCAGCCCCTTAAGTGTGCGACCCTATGGGTTCACGCATACATAGACATGGCCCGAGTACTCCAACTCGGCCATTAGTTGATAGCGGTTTCTAGCAAGGCATGTCAACTCCTATGCGTACGCAAAGATCATATCAGACGAACCACCACAAAACCACATACTTGTTATTCCCTTGCCTCACGATATTTGGTCCAACTCATAGGTTAACACTTAACCCAAGCACGACCATGCATTTCTTGATCTAATCATTAGAGTGATCCAGTGATATCTCTCTCATATAGAGATGGGCAAATTCTATCTTGATTGTCTATGTCTCATAGCATGTTTCCCGACAAACCCGAAAAACCACCTTTATAACTACCCTGTTACAGAGTAGCGTTTGATAGTCACTGAGTAGGTCGTTTCACATCTTGAATACATACAACAATATCAGGTCTAAGGACATAACGTACATGATGTGAATAGAGATAATAACAACATCTCGTGTTGGGTCAGTCCAGCCCCATGTCATACATGTGCCCACATTATTAGTTTGACATCTCCATGTCTATGACTTGTGAAACATAGTCATCAACTAATAATGTGCTGATCCATTATTCATGTGTGTCATCACACGAACTCTGACTAGGGACAACATTAGAATAACCATACAAGTAAAAGAGTTTCACAAACAATTCACATAATTGCTAGTCGATACAGGTTGTCTTTAATGGAAATTCAATGAACTCATAATATATCATGGATACAAGGCAATATAATCATCTCTATGATTATCTCTAGGGAATACTCCCAACAGTCGTAGCCCACGCCTTGGGGTTGGGCGAGGCGGAAACCTCGTCCTCAGCGTCGGACGAGGACGCAGTTGCGTCCTTAACCATCGGATGAGCCGACGTGATGCTCATTAATCTTTTGCTTTGGATACCTGGGTATAGATATCCGACAGCCTGTTTGGTGGCGCTCCATCTGATTCTGATTCTCTATGGAAACTGATTCTCTAAGAGAAGTGATTCTGTGGCTGAAAGTGATTCTCTTTGATTCTTTAGCATAAACTCTTGAAATCATGATGGAGAATCACTTCACAGAATCAGAAGAAGCTACTTTTCTCAACTCTCAGCCTCCTAGTTTAGTTCAGAGAATCACTTCACGAAATCAGTAGAGAATCACTTCTCTCTGAAAAACTGTTTGACAGAGCTCCTGCTGGATTTAGCAGAGAATCAGCTCTGGGAGCTCCGCCAAACGGGACCATAGAAGCCTAATCGTGCAATACACTGGCTAATATGCTCCCATGTAGTCATGTTGTCCTCCGCAAAGAAGTTAATGAATTCAGGCTCTTTAAAATCCTTGGGGTACACGTGTATATTATTAAAGTATTTGGGATACAACTTGGTATATGATCTAATCCCAATTTTATGCTCAATTCCCACCTCTTTTGCTATTTTAACCTATTGGTCTTGCCAACCACTCAAAAGATTCTATTTGGCCGTGGGGTGGTGCGCAAAAGATGGGAGATTTGGGCCAAACTATCCAAACACTGAATTCGGCGTGGTTGGTTGCATGGGTTGTTCACTGTATATACATAACACTACGAGAAGACACATTATATTTAATTTTCGGTTTAAGTCATTGACTTGACTCAGCTGTTCGCATTTTCTTGGATTTTATTTCAGAAATAGTGCCATTTCTTTAAGCGGTGGCAAAATGCCTATCAATAAAAAAAACTCGACCCACGGGGGTACGACAGCCCCGGGCATTGTGCTTAAGAAAAAGACCTTCTCACGTTGGTCGAGAAAACCCGTGAACCTCTGCCCACCCATACACAGTGGCACCGCAGCTCCTAGGAGACTGGGCTGGCCTGAGACCTGTGCTTTGGCATGGGGTAGACGAGGGATTTTTTTTCAACGTGCAGATATAAGTTGCGCCTCCTCCGGCCAACAAATCCTCCCAAAGGAGGTCCGAACTCTGTCCAGAGAGTGCAAAGCGCACAGCTAAACCAAGTGGTCTAGCGTTCACTTCAGATGCCTATCAATAAAGAGACGTCTCTAATGACTTTGTGAATTTCGAGATTTGTCGCCCCATTGTGTTGTATAATTTTCACTCAGTAAACCCTATATATATATATATATATATATATGCTCTCATTAGAGAGAAATGGTTGCGTGTGATGATCATTTGATAACATTTTTTTTCTTGAAATTAGTAGCATCTTTTGTATACGCCAATGGTGTGCTGTAGATAAATATTATGAATGAAGTGATTCATATCAAAGAACCGCCTTAGACTATAACTTTCATGTTCATAGGGTTCGCGGATTGAAATACAAGTTGCTTCTCGTTTCGGCAATATAATATATTCCAGATTCCAATCCCTTAACTTGTATTAATAGTACGGTCCTGTATCATGCTTTTTTTGCAAAAGGGAAAACCTGCGGTACACCATTGGTTCCATTTCTCACGTAGGGTTGTCACAAGAATCTTACATTTTGTCCTTTCAACTCACTCCAGGCCAGCTTCGAACCAAAGTGACAGAAAATTCCTTCCTTCACAGGGTATATGTCTCGCATTTAGAATTTGTAGCTTATCGCGCAAGAATGCTCCCTTAATTCATGTCCTATATTGACATTGTTTTCTTGATATATTGTGGTGGAAATTACTAAAAAAGATCAGGCCTTGAAGTCCCTTTAAGATACTGCTGCTATTACTAAAAAAAGGATATGGGTGAAGAACAACAGTTTTGTATGTAGTAACTAAACTACAGTCTAATCAATTATGTAACTTCAGATAAAAATTCAGTTAGAACCTTATTTCAGTAGAATAAGAAAATTATAATGCCCATAAAAATGTTTGGTGAAATAAACGATTAGTTTTGTGTAGAAAATTGATTTAGTTTAAATGGGTGGCTATTGTGTATACCTGATGTATTGACAAAGATACAAGGTGTACCACATGTCAGCGCCAAGCCATGCTGAGTTACAACACACATGAGCTAGGGCTCTGCTGGTCAGGCCACGACATGGGTGTTATGGTGTTAGTGAAGATTTTATAGCTTGGAAATATAATTAGTGCCATGTTGGAGGAGGGTCAAGTCTACCTCCGTTAGGCCCCGCGTCTAGGACTCTTGCCGTGGGTCTTAAGTTTTCCAAGGCTGATTGGTGAAAGCGAGAAAAGAGGATTGGGAGCGAGGAACGATGGATCGGACGTGGAGACAAACCAAATAAATTATTGTACTTTAATATGTGATATAAACTAGTAAACATGCTTATGTGTTCCAATAGAGGTTATAGCCTCTTGTGAAGTCGCATATGACAATTTGAGGCTTGGAGATTTGTTCAACAATCGTGCCATCTTTTTATAAATACGTCTTGAAATCATACTCCGTAATGTTGCTTGATGTATATTATTCTGACTCGTATGAGTATAGGTGGTTAGTCAAAATTATATATGAGACAATAATGATAGGACTTTTAATGAGGATATTGTGGGTAGTAAAAGAAAAGGAAATAGACAAAACAGTTGAAAGAAGGCAATATTAATAAGTATATATAAAGATGGATAATATGTGCATAGTACAACAATTATGAAGCTGGGAATAATCCCAGTTCCATAAACACAAGTCAGCATCAACAAGAGGTGATCTGTTAGAGAATATAGAAGTGCCTTAGTTGTCACGGCAGCTATTTTTTTCGGACAATTGGGGTAACCTTCAGACTATGCACTAAATAAATACAAGCTCACAAAGCTGAGGGTAACTTTTTTATGTGGCTTATTGTCAATAAGACACATGAAGAAGAGGTGATCTGTTATACTAGAATATAAGTGCTAGTTTTTCGAACTAGTATGCGCTAACAAAAAATACAAAGTGGCTTATATATTGTCAATAAGACACATAAAAAGTTACAATTGATTGGGAAACGCTACTTGAAGCTTTAAACAGATGAGACACACACCGGTGGGGACGTACATTCACAACTGTGTGGCCATCATCACACCCTGAGATGGCCTAGGATCTGTATTAAAAACGCAATCGTCTTTAGATGCTGTCCCAAACAACATTGTCCAATATAAATACGTTGCGCCATCGACCTTGACAGGGAGAAACAACCACAACCAGCAGTAAACTAGCTAATAAGGCATAATGGAGCATGCATCAGCTGCCGGCATGACAACCGTGGTTGTGCCTGAAGAACGCCGGCTGCCAGAAGCAGGGCTGAATGGTGCCATACTGCGCTGGGCGTTCATCGACAAGGCGATCAGCGGTTTCGGGGCCCTGGCGCTCGCTTGGGCCACCATCGTTCTGCTTGGTGGATTCTCCACCCTGATAAAGCAGAAGGATTTTTGGTTCGTCACAATCATCTCCTTCCTCGAAGCCACGAGGTTAGGGATATGCAAAATTAGTTAACCTTGTATCATCACAGTTATATATTTTTATTAAGTTAACTTGGTCCATATATAAACCTGTGCTGTGCACAAGCATACAATAATTTTAGAAAATGACTTAGTGTTCAGAATTCGTGTGGAAAGACCATTAGCTATGTGAAAACATTTAATATTGGGACATGGAAAAGCATATAGAAATGTGCAGACATTACTCATGAAAGTATTAGAAATCTAAACAGGACTACATTTTGGCTTTTCATAGATGGCCATAAATGCTTTCCACCCCTGAGAGATGGTCAGAGTTAATCGTACGTATAGTTATCAAAGGCGCGGTCCACATGGTTGCCGGTGGAAATAATGTTTTCTAAGACCGACGTCTGCCTTTGAAAATCAATTTATTTTTTTAAAGATCCCATTGCAGCTCCTGCTTAGAATCCAGCTTCTGCTTCTGCCACAACCATCGCTGCTCCTCGACGCCCCCAAACACAGGCCGGATCTAGTGCCACCTTTGGCCCGGATTGAGGTCAAATGGCTCCCCTCCGGCCGGCGGCCGCCCTTGGCCGGATTGAGGCTAGGTGGTCCTCCTCTATGCCGTCATTATGGACACACCATCATCATCCCAGTCCACATCATCCACGCTGCTATTAAAATAAATATTTATACTAATGTATATATGTTTACTTGGCCTACAGGATAGAAAATACCATTATTCTTATTTTTAACATAACAGTTATAGAATTGTACATTTTAGAAATTTATATACCATACTTTATGTATATTGGATAATTTTTCATGATAACTTATAATACTATTAACATGTACGTTCGAGACATATTTATGTTCTTTTTATGATGGGTGTGGTGGATAATTTAGATACGAATAAAAATGTGTTATGTTTATAATAAATGTTATCTTATATTTTCTTTCATACCGGCATATATTGGTAAATTTGAATGCAAATGTAAGGGTTACTTCACATTATCTATCATAAGGGTAAATGTGGGTAATTATAAAAAATATTGGTGAGTTGTTTTAAATTATCTTTCATAATGATAGTGATGGGTAATTTATATACAAAGTTAGGATAGTTTTGAGTTATCATTAATAATGGTAGATGTGGGTAATTTAAATGCTAAATTAGGTATTATTTTGAATTATCTTGGATAATGATAGATGTGGGTAATTTATATACAAAACAGAGGATTATTTTTTTATCTTTCATAATAACAGAGGTAGTTAATTAAGATATAAAATTAGGGGATTATTTTGAATTATATTTGATAGAAGTAGGTAATTTATATATAAATTTAGGGGTTATTTTGAATTATCATTGATAATGGCAGAGGTGGGTAATTTAAATTCAAAATTAAGTGGTTACTTTATATATTTTTCATATGGTATAGGGGTGGGCAGTTTTTTGTGAAACAGAATAAAACCAGTGGCTATTATAGATGATGATTATAGATTCTACTAGATTAAAGCTTAGATATTTCTGATTATATTTTGAGAATTTATTTTTTTAACACCTATGATGAAAATTAGTAAGAAAGCCTCTACTTAGTAATATCAAGATAAGATATATACTTTCTGATGAGCTAGTGGCATGGGCCACTTGGACCGGACTATTGGGCAGATGTCCAAACAGTTTGTCCCTCTCGATTACTCATCAGCAAATAAAGGAAGTACATCACAAAATATGAGGTGGTTTTTTTATATCGTAGAGGCACAAAGGAAAATGGCGTGGCTTTTTATTTTTCTTGTTTTAATAAATACTACTACAGTCGTTGTGTTTATCCTGCTATAATTTCTAATCTAAATCTAAAAAGACAGTAAGTTATCGTCTATCCAGTGATACCAAATCTTGATCCCTACTATGTGCCCATATTCGATAGAAATCATTCTCCACTCGGACCTCACGCGTCCGCATCCTATCTGGTTTCGATATGAAGATCAGATCCATGTGCCCGCGTCCGATACAATGTCCTCGGAGGTCAAAACTCACATGTTACCATAGCCCGATGCAACGCAAAAACATATATCTAGTAATGTAATAAAGTCCCATATACAAAACTGACATGGTTACATACCAAACTCTTTCCAAATGCAAATGGCAGGCTCGTCAGCAGTGCTGTGGATCCAGAGGATCAGTTCATCATCAACGCACCGGAAGTTGTGGCAGCAAAGACCGAGGAAATTGAGGCCAAGGAGCAAGGTAGCTGGCAAAGGCATCATCGAACCAACCGGCCGGGGCAAGGACCGAACCAAACTGCTGCTCCCCCACCACCAAGACGAGGAGGCCTGCTGGGATGGTCGTCGTCCCTAACCTCCGGGCGGCGGCGCTTCAGCACCTGCCGCCTCTTCTTCGCCAAGACCCTCACGACGGGGTTCACGTTCGCGCTGTTCGCCGCGGGCATCACCTCCGTCGTCCTGGCCGTGCTGCGTCTGAGCCGGCAGGACTATGTGGACCCGGCGGACCAGAGCAGCAGCGACCACAAGAGCATCAAGGGGTCCCTGAACCTCTTCTACGGCCTGGTGCTGACGCAGGGCGTCTCCTCCTTCCTCGCCGACACCATGCTCCCCATCGACGTCCGGCGGGTCAAGAAGCTCCGCATGACGTACCAGCTTGGCCAGTCAGGGAAGCTCATCATCAAGCGCTACATGCTCGACACCTACATGAAATGTTCCGGTGGAAGAGTGCGTGAAGCAATGGACATGGACCTGGTCAGCTTCGCCATGGAGATGGCGAGGTCCACCTCGGTGGCCGACCGGCTCGTCGGCGTCCGGGTTCTTGATCGCGTCCTCAGCGTGGAGAAGTACAGTGGGCTGGCGCTGATGAGGCTCCGAGCTTCCATTGACACTGTGGGAAGCGTGGTCAGTATGCTTGGACTGAAGAACAAGACCACGGAGGAAGAGAACACCAGAGGGCACGCGGCGAACGTGGTGCTGGAGCTCTCTCCAGACCTCCAAGTGGAGAGCTTCCCAGCAGTGCTGCAGATGGTGTCTTCACTGCTTACTGCGAAGACAACGGCAGCGTCGACAACGAGCAATGTCAGCGTCGAGCTTACATGGCTCGGTGAAAATCCTCAGAAAGATCATGGACAATCCGGACAACTGTAAGGAAGTAGTGAAGGATGCCGATGACCAGGTGATATCAAGCATTGTGGACCTTACAGCTGTTAGTGATTACAACAGCAGCTCAATCTCGTGGTCTCCAGTAACAGAGGAGATCATCGTGGAGGCAGTTCAAGTCCTGCACAGGCTGGTCTCGAACTACCGGCGATGCCGGTAAGGTGCTTAGGTGCAAAATCTCTGAGAACCTCCATGTTCTCAGGAACATTAGAAAGATCCTGGAACATCCAAGGAGCCATACTGAGCTACTCACTGAAGCAATTGGAGTTCTTGCCTGCTTAGCTTTGGATGAGACAGGAAAGGAAGAGATTGGGGGTTCAGCTCGGATCATTAGGAAGCTTGTTCCATCCCTTGTTGTTGAAACTCCATCCCCATCCAACAGAGTCAAGCTAGCTAAGTCTGCTGTTGAAGCATTACTTGTTCTTGCCGTGGACAGCCAAAGGAATGCCTTGAGGATCCTTGAAGAACTGAAGATTGAAGACATGCAGCAACTTGTTGATATGCTTTCTTCTGACTCCACAGAGCTCAGAACTATGGCTGCAAAACTCTTGGCGGTTCTACGTGTCAATTCTATAACAGAACATGTTCATTATAACAGGACAGTCGACAACGCACTACCTCTGGTAAATTCATATACGCACCTTTGTTTATGTTTTTTGGGTGTAGTATTTGTTATTGCAGATTACTTAGCTTGTTTCCTTTCAACCAAATTCCACGAAAGCATTAACAATATATATATACACACTGCTAAGTTCTATGTTTTAATCTTTTGTCCTTGAATTGATTTCTTATTATGGAATGTATATACTGTTTGAAATATTTAAGACCATCACACATATAATAGTACTCTTACAGTTTCTCATCACACATACAGCTGCTGAAAGCAATCAAGCTAGAGGTGGAGAAACTATATGCCCTGGTACCTGCTGCTGGAGAACTTCATGCCCATGATGCTGTATGAAATCTAGCCTTCTCATCACACTGCACCTCTCTGCAAATACATTTATTTAGATTATGTATCATTTGCTCACGCTGATTCAGAGCGAACTTCCTTGGGCCCGATGGGCTCCCTCCAACCCTAGGAGCCCCTGGCTCCCTCCCCACCGCCGCCGCGCTGCGCCGCACCGGCGCCGGCGCCCTCCTCCTCCCTCCTCCTCCCTCGCATGGCTTGGAAAAGGAACTCATCCAAATTATATGTATTATTTGTACACAGAATTTGGAGGAATGGAGGACCAAGCAGGGTGCACTACTGGAGAGCTTTGTTGGCCTCAGCGTTCGGGTCTCCACATTCATTCAGGCAAGCGAGTTCGGCGATGCGCTCCGGAATGCCAACCTCACAGTGGATTTGCTCATGCACGCGCTCAACAGGATCCTTGATATGTACAAGTCACCAGACACAGAGTACCCAGGTATAAGGCGGGTAACAGTTGAGCTAATCATTTGGATGCTACGGAGCAACAGACGCTGCATTGAGTTTTTCTTTCGGCACCAAGTGGACAAGGCAGTGAAAGAAGTCGCAGAAACAGAAGAAAGACTTGAAATGTTTAAGATGTTCTGCTGCGGCGTTGGCGTCGCTAAGCACAGAGAGCCCATTTCTTCTCTTGTTGCTTCTGAAGCCTCTGCTCTGCCTAGCATTGCTAGAAGGCTCCCAGGCGAGGTGTCGGCAGAGAACACAATACCAATTGCTTAATTTGCAGGCATATGAATGATCCCTTGCTATGTACCGCGTGATTTGCTTAACTACAATTTATTGTTCATGACATTCTATGTTACAACTTTTTGTGTGTTAAACTTTGTAATAAGTTTGGTCTGATTCCTCTAGGTGACGAGATGAAGCCGGAAGTTTAATTCCATTATCGAAAAAAATATATATGTATACATTTGGGTTATCTGAATTCGATCAATAACTGGGCGCCAACCATGCATTTTCACCACTAGAAATATGTGAACCATTTTTGTTTCCTGCATATTATCCAACTTTTTAGTATTCCAGTTAACTCGATCATCAGGGGTAACATTTGGTACGGTATGATTCATATCAAGGCTTTGAAAATGCTATATGTATTCAGTATGTCTTTGTTTTGTTAGCTTTTGTATTCATCATATATAGGTAACGACATATTAATTTCACATTTTATTTGAAGGCCCCAAAACTATTGGATCTGTGGATATGCAACTCAAGTATTTTGAGGGACTTGGAACCAGAAGTGTTCTGAGAATTTCTATGTAGAAATCACAGCCTTAGCACATTTGTGATAGTCCTATGTTTGGAAAGCTATTAGGTGCACTCTTACACATTTCACTAATATAACATACATACTCAGCGTTACGTAAATTGATATATTTTAATTGAAATGTTGTGACATATATTTTCACTGAAATAGTGTAACATATTTTTATGCAAATTTTTATTTCTATTTTCTTTATAAAAAAAATAGTGCTATTGAAGGACAGAAACGGCGACCGGGTTATTAAAATTCTTTTCCGAGTGACAACTTGGCCTATATCCCAAACAACACTTATAATAAGCAAAAGAGAGAGCTACTCTGCAACAGGTATGAATGAACAGCATGTGTACTAAAAAGCAACAATACGTAATTTGATCAAGCAATAATAGATTAACTACTACTCAATGACGAGCTAATGATTGCTCGAACTTTAGTTCACTATTGCTTGAAAAGGACAAGACACAGGGTGAATACTTGTTGCTCGAGCACTTTGACTGTTGGGATGCAGTTGTCGATCTACTGCAACCTCAGTGAGGAAAGGGCAGCAAACAGCTGAAAATTGAAGATTTGCGCAACTGCTGTGGCGGGTTGGTGAACCACGGAACTGAAGCTATGGTCGACCAAGAAAAACTGCAGCTATCAATCCATTTTCTTCAGAAGAAAAAAACAGAGAGCAGAACAATGGAACAGAGTAGAGGCACAAAACCTGATGTGGGCTTGATGCAATACTACACTGAACTGAACTAAAGCAGAGAAACTATGAACTTTAAGGGGCAGTGCAGAGAGCTCCCACTCTGTGCGGAGTCTGGGGAAGAGTGTGAGTGGCAAGCATTACCCTCGCCTGTGCAATGCGAGGAGACCGCGACTCAAACCCAGGACCTTCCAGTCACAGGCGGTAAGACTCTACCGCTTGCACCAGGCCCGCCCTTCAAAAACTATGAACTTTCTGAACCTAAAAAAACACAGCTTAATCAAAAGACAGATACACTGAACTGCTGCTACTGGCAATATAATAAATGCTAGCACTGATGACTGCAACCGAACTCAATCAAACTCAAAAACATGGAAACAAATCTGAATCAGAGAAACGACTTGCCCATACCTGAAGACTTGACGTATTCCTGCAAGTCAATTACAGAGCAGAGAAACTACAGAAGATTGCAGACTGCAAAACAAAAATGTCTGAATGAAGCACAACTGCAGAACAGAGACCAGTGCTACGCCGGAAGAAATTTCAGTCAAGCCAAACTCAAAATAAAAGAAAAGACGAGGCCTTCCTGATGTAGTAAAAGATTCTAAAGACTTACTATTGCTGAACCAATTTCAGAGACTGAACCAATCTCTTAATTGTAGTTGTTCAGACATAAACAAACATTTCATTCATCATAGTACTTAAGAGTAGTTTACGACCTAAAATGCTTACTTTAATAAAATAAAAGAAAGAGTAAAACTAAAATATACAATATGTACAAGAATTTAAACTTAACTTGATAAAAAAATATGTACCTCCAAATATAAATTTTAAAAATCAAAATTTTCATTCACGGTGTCGTGAGAGCTACAACAACATCCACCATAATTTAAACTAATATTTCAACTAAATGAATATTGAAGATATATGAAATTTCATACACAAAAGAGAAAATTGTAGATATGGATGAAAAAATTATGAATGATAAGCATATTTTGAGCCTGGAAAAGTCAAACATAATAGATTTTGATAATTAATTTCTCATACTATATATTGCCATTTGCTAAAGAATCATAATCACCATATACGCACTTTGAATACAAAAAGTCTATTGATACAAGTTTCATGTTCTAAACAGGTATGTAATTTGAATAAATTGTTGGGCAAAAATAATAGATTTTGATAATTAATTTCTCATACTATATATTGCCATTTGCTAAAGAATCAGTATCATCATATAGGCACTTTGAATACAAGTCTATTGATATAAGTTTCATGTTCTAAACATGTATATTATTTGAATAAATTGTTGAGGAAAAATATGATTATCATTCTGGGACAGAAGTAGTAATATATAAGTATGGGGGTATGGCCCCGGTATCCACGAGACAAGACATGGGCCATACATGGGCCATACCATCAGAGGTGGTCCAGCCCACAGGATCGAAGGCGTGCACCGCAAAATATTGTATAGTACCAAATATTATACTTTTCTTGTAACCCTACCCCTCCAGAGTATATAAGGAGAGGCAGGGGTCTCCTAGTGGACATCTACATACACCTCATATTCAATATAATACACAAAAGACACAAGATGTAGGGTATTACGTTGATCAAACGGTCTGAACCTATCTAAATCGTTGTCTCTGTGCCTTAGGTCACCATCCGGTTCCTGATTACGCGCACCTCAACGTCTACCTTCGTGGGATATCCCTCGGAGAACTGCCGAGCATCTTTTGCCGATAGTTAGCGCACCAGGTAGGGGTGTGCGTGCTGATCCATTGTGAACCAGATGGGACCTCAAGATCAACACCGTTTGTGGCAAGCTGATTTTCCACAACGGCGTGAGCAACCTGACGTGCTCGACTTCACGTCTCCAGCAAACCAGCTCCGACTAGTCTGAATTTTTGGCCAGGATCAATAACAGGAGGCAAGTCGGCAAGGAAGAACTCAACGACTTTAGCCACCGTCTCGCATGCGTATCGACGAGTACATAGTCAAAGTGCTGAAGCCCTTAATCGTCGCCACGATGAATACGTCACGTTCGAGTTGCATGCATCCGTGCTGATCCGTACATCTCCACGTCTCTGGACTCCGTCGGGATCAATACAGAAAAGAAAGCCAGCGGATATGGCCATGGAGACATCGGCGATATGAACCAGATCCGATCTAAAGCCAAGTATCAAAATCATAGCACAAGTCAGGACTACAACGCCACCTCCATCTCCAACACGGCATCGACACTGGAATTTCTAAGTCTAAGGTTTCGTCCATCAAGACGTTCCTCTGATTACGAGCAAACAAGAAGCGTGTACAGACCTTGCAAGTAATTTAATATAATCAAGGGCAACTAGCATATACGTGTGCATGCATGCACAACATGCTACACGCCCAAACTTGGCCTAAACGCTCAGACACCAAGGTGCCATCGGTCAGCAAGCAAACCAAGAAGGATCACCGTTCCGAGTGCTCGACGTGCCTGTTGGTCGACTGGTTTACTTGTCAACAACCTCCTACTCGGGACGATGACTAAGCTGATGCTCGGGGGCTCCCAAATCCGAAACGATCGATCGGCTACTACTCATTCATAACCGACGTCAACACACAAGGGCAACATACGTGCTGCTACCGGGCGAGTGCACTCCGTCAGGCTACGTCATGATTCTACGCCGACCACATCAACACCTGCAACAGCAGATCCGATCTTGGAAACACCTCCGAGTTCGTCAGGTGCTCGCCATCAATACCGACCAGATAACGTCATACGCCGCCGATTAGACATTCTGTCTAAAGTTAAGTCACGCTTTAATATTTTTTTGAATATTCTCCAATCTTCGTATATCGCCATAATGTTTCTTCGAGCTGTTTTCTCTATGTTTGCTCTCCAAGCGATTTTCTATCATGTTTATCATCTTAAAGATGACATACAGTTAAGTCTACGGCAAATCCCCTAACAGTCATGTTGATGCTCGGATGTCTCCAGAGACGGCCCTGTCTCAGGCTCCTCCCTACACGTGCACGAGCGTCTGCCCTCTGCATTTTAGGTGGTCGGCAACGGTTTCGTAGCGACGCTTTGTTCTTCTTATACGCACACGGGCTCCGCGCTCCGCGTTATGGTTAACAGGCTAGCTAGGTCTAGAGACTCAGCTACACACTAACTGATCGGACGTTTTGTATTAAATATAAATACATCTTCACACCAACTAATCGCCGAGCTACATATGCTATTTCGTCTTCGGAGTTCATATATTTCTACATCATGTACTACCCGTTCTATATATTTGTATTGCAGGATTATCATCCAGGTGATCGGACCACCTGGTGCTTGGACTTCTCCACCGATCAATTGGTCGGACCGCTAGGTTCATGGACTTTGTCACCGACCAGTTGATCGGACTATTCGCCGGTCGTTTCTACTCAATGCTCACTTTGCCGCCGACCAGGTGACCAGACTGTTCGTCGCTCGTGCTTCATCATCAGCTACGCTGGGGGCTCCTCGGTGCTCCGACATCGCTAGCTACATCGGGGCTCCTCGACGCTCGGATTCTTCGTGCTCGAGGACTAAGTGGGCACACTTCACCTTGCGGACATCATCAGCTACGCGGGGCACCTCGGTGCTCCAACGTCGCCAGCTACGCTGGGAACTCCTCAGTGCTCGGACGTCGCCAACTACGCTGGAAACTCCTCGGTGTTCGGACATCGCCAGCTACATCGAAGACTCCTTCGTTGCTCGGACAATGCCAGCTACGCCGGGAACTCCTCGGTGTTCGG